GTCATCGAATTCTGATCTCTGTTGCCTCAAGGTACTTGCGTGATGGAAGAGAAGGCTCTCTGCCGAGAATCTTCGCCTGGTGGAAGGGCTGAAATTGTGAAGATGATGTGTGAGATTCTCGGCGGTGGGTTTTGTAGTGGTTGCCCCAGGGAGCTTTCTCCACCATCGTCCGCGCTTCCCGGTAGTGCTCCTGAAACCGCTCCCGCACTGGCCGCTCGGTTTCCCCGACGTACAGCTCTTGACAAAGCGTGCACATCATACTGTAGACAACATGCTTCGCCACACATTCACGATCAGACATACCCATATCACATGCTCTACACACCATCGGTGCACCACGACCACGCTTCACCTTCGCTCTCTGCACCTCACGGGGACATACACGGGCAGACAATGATGACCGAACAAGTCATGGTGGAGAAAGCTCTCTGGGGCAACCATGGCATGAATCAAACTTCCCAGCACATGGCTGATCTACAGACTGGGTATTCCACACCTTGTTGTTATCACAACGAATGCGGGATCTCAGATTCGACATCTCGAATGGATAGCCACACCTGACTTGAGAGCTTGAGAAGATTAACACGCTCCATACTTGACTCTTAACCCCCCTCCCCTCTCACCGCACAAACACACACATACACACACACACACACACACACACACACACATCAACTCAACCATGGCTGTTTCGCGCCCACTTTGCACTTGATGAAATGCTCACTTACATTGTTATGTCTTAGTGCTAGCTTATAACGTGTTTCAGAGTACATGTAGTAGTGTGAATTATGTAGTGTGAATTATGTAGTGTGAATTATGTAGTGTGAAGCATGTAGTGTGAAGTATGTGACTGTTCCTGTACTGTCTTATAAAAGCCAACTTTGTGTCATTCTTCTCCTATAATCCCTGATGATGCCCTCCTGGGTGAAAATTTGGACAATGTCATATGTACGTGGTGTAGCCAAGGACTGGTAGTGTGTTGCGAGATGGGTATACTGAAAATATTATTATGTAGCACGAAATAACATAATGTCACCACTTGGAATTGGCCGGGTGCTAATTTTGAAGTTACTAGTAGTCTGTTGTGTCTGACGAATGGAATGAGAAAACAGGCAGCATCATCGAGCGCCTTGTGAAGCTAAGAATGCTCGCAACCATGCCAAGCTACTCTCTCTCTCCCCCCCCCTCTCTCTCTCTCTCTCTCTTCTTGTCTAGATATTGGATGAGATGTCAAAATTACTGGACAACTGCACAACATTGCTCAATGTAAGTCCTGAACTTCTCCTGTCTAGCAATAATATAGAAGAACGTGCATTGCAGACTCAGCGGAGGACGTTCAGGTTGGTTGTAACTCTGAGTTGCATGCCGTTGGGCAATCATCAGATAACTGATACTTTGGTCTACCCAACAGTATGCTTATACACACATAGGGCCACAAGCATGAACAAATTTAGCGCTAAATCTGGTGTAAGGTATGGGGAGAAAGCTGGCGCGGGCCAAGGCGCGACAGTAGAAGTGCCAGGGGGGTGGCGGGCAGCAGGCAGGTGCGAGCATGAAAGCGCGGAAAGAGGCGATGGGGAGACAGTGTACAGCAGATGGGTGGAGGTGCCAGGAGGATGGTGGGCAATGGGCCAGTGAGATCGCTAGGCGGTGTTTGGGTGACGGGCAGGCGTGAGCAGAGTGGCATAGCCAACAACAGGCCAAGGGATTGTGTTATTTCTAATTGATATTGGGGTGCAATCAGCCTTATCAGCCATGCAAGCAAAGTTCTCCTTAAAATCATTCTTGGCCGATTGCAGCCGCAGGTGGAGCAGCTACTTTCCGTTGAGCAGGCAGGGTTTCGTGCAGGCCGTAGCACGGTGGAGCAGATCTTCAACTTACGGATGCTGATTGAGAAATACCGAGATCGGCAGCTAGCCCTGTACCACAATTTCATTGATTTTCGTAAAGCTTTTGACCGTGTCTGGCACAAGGCCTTGTTCAGAATCATGAGGCACTATGGCATCGAGCCACGGCTGATAACACTCATTGAGTCCTTGTACAGTAATGCAGAGTCGGCAGTCTTGGTGGGCTCTTGTATCAGCAAATGGTTTTCAACTACTGCTGGTGTCCGGCAGGGCTGCCTGCTATCTCCGGCCGTATTTAACTTATTCCTTGAATATATTATGTCAGCTGCGCTGTTCGACTTTGACGGCTCTGCACGGATCGGTGGAGTTGTCATTACTAACTTACCTTTCGCCAATGACATCGATCTGACAGCCACGACTATGCAGGAGCTAGTGGAGTTGACGGAGCGTGTCGACCATTCAGTGCGGCGTTATGGAATGGAAATAAATGGAAATAAAACAAAAATCATGGTGATCCCTGATCAACCTGTTTCAGCTGATGATCCTGCAGTGTGTGTGGACGGCGTTGCATTGGAGCGGGTGCAACAATTCAAGTACCTTGGAGCGACCATCCCTGCAGATGGAACATCTGACGTCGAAATCAAGAGACGACTGGCGATGGCAACATCAAAGCTTCAAGAGCTGAAGACATTCTGGACTTGCCGAACTATATCGCTTAAAATAAAAATCCGCTTGGTAACTGCTATTATTCTTGCTACTGTGCTCTATGGCTGCCAGACCTGGACCATCTCACAAGCTAGCCCAGGGATGAATTTATCCGGTATCGCATCGCAGTTTGCTACGCAAAATCGATCTACTGCTTCTCAAAAATGACAGTGACACGCAGAAAACTGCAATACATACATGTACATGTACAGGCTATTCATGCTTTTTGTAGCTTACGAGATTTTGCATAGGAAAAACTGCTATGCAAGAACATGGCAGTAAATTCATCCCTGTAGCCTAAATCGAATTAGAGCTTTTGAGCTCAGGTATCTGCGTAAGCTGCTTGGCATCAAATACCATCATCATCGCACAAATGAGTCAGTACTGCAGGAAGTCAAGAATGCTATTGGCCCGTTCACGCGCCTTGATCCAACTGTTCAACGCATCAAGTTGAAGTGGTTTGGATATGTAGCAAGGCATCAGGATAGCTACTCCCACTATTTCTTGGATGGAATGGTGCCTGGATCGCGGCCCCGTGGTCGCCCCTGTCACAATTGGTTCACCAATATCAAAGATTGGACCAAGGAATCTTGCAATTCTCTCTCTCTCTCGTTGCTGCTGATCGTGATAGGTATAGGCAGCTTGTTTATCTGTGTAGTTAGGTTTATTTTTATTTTTATTTATTTTTATGCTGCTGCCTGGCGTCACACATGACGCCCCTACGACCAGAATTGTTATGGGTTATACATGCATACATTGGGGTGCTCAGGCAAAGTGCAGTACAGTACTTGGTCAGTTCATTTGATAGGTGTGAAATTTGCGAGGCGGAACTTATTCTCATGCCTGCATTTCGAGATCATCTCAGACCGCTTGTTGAGCAGGAGCTTCTTGGGTGTAGTCAGGATGTGGAGTTTTTCTGCGGTACATAGATTGCATTTTGTTGACTCACATCTGTATGATCGGCTCTTCTCCCGCACCTTCCATGTAATGGTCAACGGCTTTCCCTCGCTCTTCAGCTCCCATACGTGTTTTGCGAGCTCAGTGCTGTTTTTGTATTTTCATGACGCATAGAGGTCAGGTGGTTGGCGTGACGGGCTTTGAAAGGTGTCTCTGATAGACCGATGTAAATCTTGCTGGTAGATTCGGCAGTGGCCTCGTACTTTATCTCTTTGGTCTGGCACTCTCCGCGCAGCAGGCAAGACTCCTTGATTTTGCAGTTGCATGCCTTAGTTTGTTCTGGCTCTCGCAGGTTGCTCTTGTTGTGGCTGCTGATCACCGCTCCCATATTGGGCATACAGCTGTAGCTCACTTTCAGGGTGTTACGGTTGAAAATCTTCCCGAGCTTGGATGTTTTCGGGAAGTGCCTGGAGACAAGGCTCAGGAACCTACCAGCAACGTTTGTGCTGACATTCTTGGAGCAAGGGGGGGGGGGGGGGGTTGAACCATATGACCTTCCGGCTGCGGTTCTTCCTGCCCCTCTGCTCACGTGCCTCGGGCTGAAAGCTCAGCACTTCATTGTATCCACTGGCCTTTAATGCGGTCTGGTACACGGGGGCTGCATGGTTGAATGCCTCAGCGTCGCTTGATATAGTGGAAAGGCGCTTGTTGACAGCAGCAGGGATGTTGTTGGTGATCCCAGGCGGGTGATTGGACTGCTTGCTGACGTAGAGCGGGTTGTCATTTGGCTTTCGGAAGGGTTGAAATTTCCCTGGGTCCAGGCTCATCATGACATCCAAGAAATCCACCACCTTCAAGTTCGCTTCGATGGTAATTCTTAGGTCGAAGCGCTTGAAGATTTCCGTCAGCTTTTTTCTGAGGCGGTCTGCAGCCTGTGGGCTGGTGTCCTTGAGAGCGGCCAGTCCATCGTCTCTATAGAGGCCGATAGTGGATCTATCGACGTGGCTTGAGAGCTGGTTGAGAAGAAAGGCGCCCACAAGTTCGCACGTCTCGGCGCCATCGTAACTTCCCATTGTTACGTCAAACATGTCGCCCTTGTCCTTCATCCAGGGGCGGCCATCATGGAATAGGAGCGATTTTCGGGCGTGAAGGATGATGTCCATTTCACGCGGTTAGATCGTGGTGAATTGCTCCGCGAACGATAAAGCCTGACGGAGGAGCTGCTCACCAATTGACGGGTAGAATTCTACCACGTCAAAGCATAGGAACGTGTGGCGCCGTTTGTCGGGTATCTCCTTGAACCACTCGATCACTGACATGGTGTTCCTCCATAGGCTCACGGCCGTTTGGCAACGCAGAGCAGCCACGATCTTCTCTAGTATAGCCTTGCTCACCACACCCACTTCCGACTTAGCTGGACTAATGAGTCTGCAGGGCAGCGCTCTAGCGAAGTTGTTTTTATGATCTTTCAGTGTTATAAATGCTTCTGACTTAGCCAGTACGTCTATCCTGTTTTGAAGATCTGGACCCTCAGCGATCTCCCTCGCCTCGCTGTTGACTTCATCGTAAGCATTCTCAGGCGCGATCTTGTAGTTTTGGGTGATGTTCCCTCTCATCAGCTTGCTGTATTGCTCTTTTGGTACTTGGTACAAATTCCGGGTTTTATCGGCTTTCACGATGATGTCCTTAGAGTTTTTGATCATTTTGGTGTCTTTTCTCATAGCGTCTTGGAGGCTGTCTGATAGTTGGCGGAAACTGAACGTTTCAGTCACGCGAATGAGGTCCTCTTCAAAGGCTCATCGACTTACGAAGGACAGGTCCTGCTCTTGAAGCCGAAGCGTTCTGGTTGCTCCTCTTCGCGATCCTCGCCATTGAGGTAGAACAATGTGGCCCACCTCATACGCTTGATGACTTGCTCAATCCTGTCACTCCGACACTTTCCGGTACTGCTTGTGTGACGGTAGAGGGATGTTCTTCAGGGAGTGTCCCAGTTGTATTGGCATTGAAGCGTCCATAGCTAACTTGCAGTGTAGGGGTAGAGTGCTCGACTGGGTAAAGCCAGGAGCGTGGACAAATCCGTTGATCCCCGAGCTGCAGAGAGTGCTCAATTATCAATAACACAATCCCTTGGCCTGTTGTTGGCTATGCCACTCTGCTCACTCCTGCCCGTCACGGACTCACCCAAAGACCGCCTAGCGATCTCACTTGCCCATTGCCCGCCATCCTCCTGGCACCTCCACCCATCTGCTGTACACTGCCTCCCCATCGCCTCTTTCCGCGCTTTCATGCTCACACCACCCTCCTGGCACTTCTACTGTTGCGCCTTGGCCCGCGCCAGCTTTCTCCCCATACCTTACACCAGATTTAGCGCTAAATTTGTTTATGCTTATGGCCCTATGTGTTTACAAGCATACTGTTGGGTAGACCCGAGTATCAGTTATCTGATGATTGCCCAACGGCATGAATCTCAGAGTTACAACCAACCTGAACGTCCTCCGCTGAGTCTGCTATGTACTAAGCTCTGTCTCTGACATTGAGCATTCTCTGCAGCTCGAGGATCAACGGATTTGAAGAATGTGCATTTGTATAATTGTAATGGGGTTGCATTGAATATTCATTTGGTTCAATGATGCCATCATGCCCAGTCAGAGATCAAAAGTGCAAAGAACATGTACATTGCAGCTACGACAGTTGAAGCAGAGCAGCAAACTCGAGATCCGTATATCCTGAAGCTAACAAACGATACTGTATCTATGAGACAAGCACGGAAAGGCGTATACATTCAGAAATACTTCCGCGAGAAAGTTAGGAGTCTGTTAGCTCCCGGCTAAATGCAGGCCCCTCACACTCTTAGAACACAGGGTTTTGTAGTATTGAATAATTATATGGAAGAAGTATTTAGAACACAGCGTTTTGTAGTATTGAATAATTATATGGAAGAAGTATTTGGACAAGAGAGTAGACAAGAACGAATAGAGAACCACTGGAGCATGCGCTCTTCTGTACTTGATGGGATCTCATTGCTATGGCGAAGGAGCGGGAAATACGAATAGTGAGTATTGTACTGTCTTAGAATACATACACCTATTACAAGTCCATCGCAGCTGAAGATAGGATAGCAGTTGCACACTCCTGGCTATGTACACTTGGTATGAGGTAATTTAGAGGTGTAACTACAACTGAACCGGATCACCCGAGTTACTGACCTGGCTAATGACCCTGTCGAGAGAAAAGACCGTGACCTGGTTGCTATAGTTTGCAGGGTACGAACTACAAGTATCTCTATTCTAAATTGACGAATCACGGTTGTAGCCAGCTTGTGATTGAAGGGAGCTGATGGGTTAACCCTGCAATCCATCCAACATGGAATTAGGAGCTCATCAACGGTCAACATCAACCTTAGCCAGATGCTACTCTCCCGGCGTTGAGTAGAACCTGGGTTTTAGGGTGTTCGGCCCTGCTAGAATGCACTATTGATCATGGCACGAGGGCAAGACATCTACACCGATCCATTGTCCCGAAGTATGCATACCTGATGCCAGAGTGAAAGGCTCATGCCGGCCTACTACGCTTTGTGTGCACGGTTTTTGTGAAATTGTTTCTTTGTTCCTGTTGTACTGCCTAGTTCAAAATGGACAATGTCTTTCCCTGACTGCAAGTGCCTTAAGTGCCTTTGCTTACCAGCAACAGATCTCAGTGTATCTGAAGACGAGCAAACATCGTTATGGCGTTATACCAATGGATTGCGTTGTGTCTTGTCGCATTTTCAGCTTCACAAGCAATGTCACAGACGCAAGCAACAGGAGATCTGTCGCATCCAGAAAGACTTCCTGGAGCAGTCCAGTGCTATCATCAATAGTGTGAAGCCGTTGCAGCAGGCACCGGTGTACCAGGCCTGGGGAGACGGTGCTACGCCAGGAACAGTGGAGCCTCGGGGAGACGGTGCTACGCCAGGAACGGTGGAGCCTCGGGGAGACGGTGCTACACCAGGAACAGTGGAGACCGGAGGATCAGTACTGGTGAGTGTACTGCCACCGGCGACTTGTTCTACGAAATAGCCTTTTTCACAGTCCCAGGGCAACTATTCAGTAATGGAGTAGTGGTCTACCAGAGCAATCATGCTCACGATGGGGAGAAACAAAGACCACAATGATAGGTTCTACAGAGTTGCGCAGGACAAGAGCAACTTCTCGAAAAATGTTTGTGATTGAAAAATACCTTTTTTGCACTCTTTCGCTACGCTCAGCCGTGAAAAAACAAAACTTGTATTTGTGCTGTTGGTATTTCGGTGTTTGACCACTTTGCTGGTGGATTGATCTACTCACCTCCCACCGCTCTAGGAGCTACATCTGCGCCTTTGATCTTTGCAAGGTGGCGGCGTTCCTACGGATGCTGAAAACTCAGTCTAACGAGTCTCAAGCGAACAGTGTGAATATTTTATTATTGGATATTTGTTTTGCCCTGTTATAATCTGCAAACTCACTTCATGCTGGCGACTGCTGCTTTCAGACATTTTCTTCGTATACTGAACGGCTAAGTGATGGTTTTTCAATGCCGCGTCCATCCCAAGTCAGCTCCAAAACAAATTGTTTGCTACTTGTACCTACTCTCCTGGGGCTGCTGCATTTGCGCTCGTTGAAATCCGACCCGAAATGCTCCCCCGGGCCACTTTCTACTACATCACCAGAGCTTTGTGTGAGTATGCACCCAACTGTGCACACCTCAGGCGCTGGTCACATTTTTTTGGTCTGGCGCTTTACACTTTGCCGACATGTATGCGCCCGTAATCAAGAGTGCATAAACAAAAGTATGCCACTGTGGTTATGGGTCAGTACGCGGCGCGCTGCCTGCATTACGTAACTTGCCTTCATCACGCTATGAAAGTATGCACTCAAACCCACAATTTCTCGTACGAGCCCATCCGGTTTTGCTCGCTTTGTTCCAGTACCTATGCAATCTCTAAATTTTGGCGCGTGTACTCCAGCGCGTGTACTCCAGTTCCGTACGAAAGTTCTTTTCAAACCAGAGGGAAAGTGCGGTGTTCGATTTTCCGCAGTGCACGGACTGCAGCTGAATGATGTAAGGAAGGCAGTGCGCCGTGCATCTCGCCTATAGAAAAGAGATCACAGCTGCATACTCTTGTTTATGGACTCTTGTCGTAACGTACCAGGTTCCCGCCAGGAAACAATAGTGGGGGAGGGGGAGGGGGGGGGGGGGAGCAGAGGAAACCTTGAAACATTTAACCCATTTCCATGTTCCGATATTCAATATTGCCTTGTCAAACGAAATGCAACTTGTGAGCGCATGTAGCACCCAGAAGGATCTATTGAAAGAAGAGTAAGGATGGACTCGGATGGTGATCCAAGGATAGATTTATTACAAAGAAAAGGACCAAGGAACTACAAGTTATGCTATTATGTTCACTAACACCACCAGCTACTCAACAATCAGCTCAATGCGATAAAATTGCACAACACTGACCGGCGGAACTGACGTTCTACAACTAACTTCCAATGAGCTCTAGCACGTCTTGGATGCACACTCCAACATCCTTTACAGCTAAGACTTTCAGGTTGTGCTTGTCTTGATTGCGTTCACCTTCCCCTCCTATGTTACTCCTATAACTTAGAGCATTCCAAGTTGGAAGGCTGTTGGAGTGCGCATCCAAGACCTAGGCTGCTTTAAAACTGTCTTTTTTCAGACCTGCACACAACATTGACCATTGCGCAGTAGACCTCATTCGGTGCAATTCTAGTTTGTCGATATAGACAAAAGTGAAATGTTGACAGTTGATAAAGAAGAACGTAAGCAGCAGCATTCGACAGTTGATAATTCTGTGAAAAGTGACTCCACCACTTGTTGATAACAACACCCTTTTTTTTAGAAACCCACTGGGTTGTAGTTGCTTTTGTGTGTGTGTGGGACTCTTTATCAGATGGTTTTAAATAAATAGAAAGAGGTCTCGACCTCAGATTTATGGCTATCATAATGCTGTAATACGCACCGAGGCTTTGCCTTGGGGTACTATTTTATTTGTACCGTACACCACTAAGTGGGTGCATAGGTAGCACCAAGAGTCCATGTAATCCCCCAGAGTGCGCAACTTCACTGTTCAGATCGGGGACGGCGAAATCCGCGTTGCACGTCATAGTGTGACATCATGAGTAGGGTAGAGTATCTCCGTGGTGGACCGCATCGACGGAGTGACGCAAGTCTGACCCAAAAAAAATGGCGTACATCACGGATTACGCCGTCCCACAACCCCGTCCAGTTGCACACTCTTCTGGGGGATTATGGACTCTTGGCAGCACACACAGTGTGCAAAACAATGGCGAACACACACCTACAGCACAGCAATACTACTCGGGGCATCTCTGCTTTTTTCAGTGTTTACCCCGCATTGCTCCATTTGTCTGAGATCTACATGCATATAACACTATGACATTTTTCCACTTTGCGTAATGATTTCTTGTTCCGGCATGAGCAGGTCGGGAAGAGATCAGCTGATTCATTGGAGAACCGGCCCAGTCAATTCCAGCTCCATCCTAGAGGTGTGTACCTGTATGCAATTAAGTGGTTTCGAATCCATCACATGACCATAGGGGACAGGCATGTTGATTCCTACTCCAGTCAATCCCTGTATCTATGGGTCACATGATGTCGGTTATGTTGCCGTGTCTATGGGTCACATGATGTCGGTTATGTTGCCATGTCTATGGGTCACATGATGTCGGTTATGTTGCCATGTCTATGGGTCACATGATGTCGGTTATGTTGCCATGTCTATGGGTCACATGATGTCGGTTATGTTGCCATGTCTATGGGTCACATGATGTCGGTTATGTTGCCATGTCTATGGGTCACATGATGTCGGTTATGTTGCCATGTCTATGGGTCACATGATGTCGGTCATGTTGCCGTGTCTATGGGTCACATGATGTCGGTCATGTTGCCGTGTCTATGGGTCACATGATGGCGGTCATGTTGCCGTGCCTATGGGTCACATGATGTCGGTTATGTTGCCGTGTCTATGGGTCACCTGATGTCGGTTATGTTGCCGTGTCTATGTTTCACATGATGTCGGTTATGTTGCCGTGTCTATGGGTCACATGATGTCGGTTTATGTTGCCGTGTCTATGGGTCACATGATGTCGGTTATATTGCCGTGTCTATGGGTCACATGATGTCGGTTATGTTGCCGTGTCTATGGGTCACATGATGTCGGTTATGTTGCCATGTCTATGGGTCACATGATGTCGGTTATGTTGCCGTGTCTATGGGTCACATGATGTCGGTCATGTTGCCGTGTCTATGGGTCACATGATGTTGGTTATGTTGCCATGTCGATGGGTCACATGATGTCGGTTATGTTGCCATGTTTATGGGTCACATGATGTCGGTCATGTTGCCATGTCTATGGGTTACATGATGTCGGTTATGTTGCCATGTCTATGGGTCACATGATGTCGGTTATATTGCCTTGTTCCCCCTAGACCTAGCCCAAATTTGCTCGGGGCGCTTCGATATTTTGCCGGCAAATTTTGCCCGAGCACTTTCCGTATTTTGCTTGGCATTGCCTTTCGTTTCCGATATTTTGCTCCATTTTGCTCCTGCTTTGTGGCAAAATGGCTTCTAATGAACCGTCTACTTTGGTAAAAGTGGATGGTGACTCTGATGAGGAAAGCAAAACTTATAACGGTGTCAGTATTCCGGATTTTGTAGCATGATTTCAAATTTATGTACCCCTGACAACCTGCACGAGCTATTTCAGGGGTGCTAGTGCTGTCCAGTCAATAAGTTTGAGTCGGTAAAAGGAAAACCCTTGTCAATGCACACGCATGTAAAAAAAATAAGTATACGGTATAAATGGCCAGAGGTAAATGTAATTCATGTACTTGTACCGTGAGTTCAGGCCATGCATTGTGAAGTACACTTGAACTACCGGAATCCGTTTCACACACAGCCCAGTAGAAGGGTGCCACGAAACACATAGTACTTGGCCGCCCTGTTTGAACCAGCTGAAACCTACAATGTGCTCATACTAGAGAGGTTCCGCATAACGTAATTACGTTAGTAAAAAACGTAGTCGATCTACAGAAAGTCTTACGTAAACTGAATGCGCATCTGGGTTACGCCATACGGAGTTTTAAAATCACGTTGCTGCCCTTGGCAACTCCAAACGCGGCAGTGTACGACCAGATCGACCTGGGGAGAGAGTCATAAATTTGTACCCCAATCCACTTACGGACCAGCTACGTTATCAGAGCCCTATCTACGTACTCTCCGTAGACAACTTTCCGTAAGTGGAGTGCAAACTCGCGCATTCACGGGTTTTTCCCGCCCACTAACGTAAAGTTGCTCAACTTTACGTAGTGCAGAACCTCTCTATTGTGCTGTTGCTTGCTTCTGTTGGCGTGGGTGGCTACTTGCGCGCCCATATTTGCCATAGCTACCCAGGCCCTTTATCTTGCATTCTCTATCACTCGCTCTCGCTCTTCCATAATGTAGTCGTTTCGTTCGTCCTTGTCTCCGTCTCTTCGTTTCCCAGTAAAAATGTCGTTCCACCTACCCGTTCCCTGTGTCCGTTGTGTTTGGGAGTATCAACCTTTCTATATCTCAACACGAGTACCGAAAAATATTGTTGATCCACGCCCTCGCTGATTCCACTCCGTATTGATTTTCTACCTGGGATGGTGACTTCACTGTATACGTTAAGTACCTTTGTTGAACACGCTGCAGTATACAATACATGGCAAACTAGCTCTGATGGAGAGAACTGTGCACAATCCAGTAGATATGCTTCTCAGTGCAGATCAGATGCAGTGGTGTAATACTGTGACCCACCTCATACATGTAGTTCATACAGTCTGTATCGGCTATAGCGTACCCTTTTGATTTCCGTGATTTTATCACTACAGTCAACTTCGCTAATAACGACTGCGGATATAACGACAATTCGCGAATAACGACATAATTTTCATGCCCAGAGCAAAGTCCCATCCAACTGTGACACATATAATGAGACTGTGACACATATAATGAGACTTCGGGTATAACGACACTTTGCGAATAAGGACACTTTTCTGATGCCCCGCCGAGTGTCGTTATAAGCGAAGTTGACTGTATAACCGATGCATCACTATAATTATGCGATACGACCGATTTTTTTTCTTTTTTCCGATCGACACATGAAAGGCAAGGAAATACTTCCAGCATGGCGTTTTGACAAATGAGCATGCTGCATAGTTTACAGTGCCCGCATTTCCATACACAACATTCTGTTATGTACATGTACCGTAAAATCCCGCCAGAGCGCCCCTACCTCCTCGACGCTTCAGGTGGGGAGGGGCGGATGGGCGAGTCCTACTTGCCGCATTCAGTGCTACATGAAAAAGTACTGACCCTACGAAAACTGTTCGTGCATCTCGTACACCGACCAAAGGTCACGAGCCACGAGTCGTACAGACCCGTCAAAACTCAGGCTGTGTTTTTTTTAATTTTTTATCACATTGCACATACCTACGGAAGAAGGGGGAGAACAAACGAAGACGAAACAAAAAAGACAACAATGGGTGTGTAGGCGCTACATGAGCTGCGCTGGTGAGATGCAGTGGACTCCCCCGACCAAGGGTCTCGGGATCGGCGTACACAGCAAGCACCATGGGAGAGGGGGGGGGCGAGAGGAATGGCGGAGAGAGAGAGAGAGAGAGAGAGAGAGAGAGAGAGAGAGAGAGAGAGAGAGAGAGAGAGAATGAGAGAGAGAGAGAGAGAGAGAGAGAGAGAGAGAGAGAGAGAGAGAGAGAGAGAGAGAGAGAGAGAGAGAGAAAGAGAGAGAGAGAGAGAGAGGGAGAGGGAGAGGGAGAGGGAGAGGGAGAGGGAGAGGGAGAGGGAGAGGGAGAGGAGAGAGAGAGAGAGAGAGAGAGAGAGAGAGAGAGAGAGAGAGAGAGAGAGAGAGAGAGAGAGAGAGAGAGAGAGAGAGAGAGAGAGAGAGAGAGAGAGAGAGAGAGAGAGAGAGAGAGAGAGAGAGAGAGAGAGAGAGAGAGAGAGAGAGAGAGAGAGAGAGAGGAGAGAGAGGGAGAGAGAGAGAGAGAGGGAGAGAGAGGGAGAGAGTAAGAGAGAGAGAGAGTGAGAGAGAGAGAGAGATAGAGAGAGAGAGAGAGGGAGAGAGAGAGAGAGAGAGAGAGAGAGAGAGAGAGAGAGAGAGAGAGAGAGAGAAGAGGCAGAGAAAGAGAGAGAGAGAGAGAGAGAGAGAGAGAGAGAGAGAGAGAGAGAGAGAGAGAGAGACAGAGACAGAGAGAGGGAGAGAGAGAGTGCACACGAAAGAAGAGAGAGAGAGAGAAAGAGAGAGATGGGTAAGTGAGGGAAAGAGAGTGAAAGAGGTGGAGAGATATAAGTATAGAGAGAGAAAGAGTTCAGCGGCATATCGTCGCTATGACTATAATGCTACTTTGAGAAGAGGGTCAACATAATGATTTGCGTCCACTGATGGCAGGCCAGTGTGATAGATGTGCATGGCTAGCACCAGTCGTGAGCAGAGCACCAGTCACTCTGTTGCAGGTGACGGTATGCAGCAATCTTGAATCTCTGCAGGTGTTTCCGGGCTGGCTGCTTGTCCAGAATTGCCTGTGGCAGTCTATTCCACACTGGCACGATGCAGTATGGGAAAGAGCGCAGAAGGTAATCAGGAGCTCGTGGCGAGAGATTCAGCTCAAGCTGGTGGGGATGGTGCTGTGCTTGGGCTGCTCGAGTGCGGCGATGACGTGGCGGTATAGCCGGCGGGGGACACATGGCTGCAACTTGAGGCAGACCATGGCCACACATCAGTTTGTACAGTAGGCAGAGAGCAGAGACCTTTCGCCGAACAAGGAGGCTGGGAAGAATGGTACCAGGGCCAATGACATTTAGGGCGCGGAGCTGGACAGCATCCAGCATGGCCAGGTGTGAGGGGGCTGATCCCATCCACGCAAGGTGGGCATATTCCAGCATTGGCCGGACGAATCCTTTGTAAACAGTCACCCTGCCCGCGTGGCTGAGGAGGGGTGCTGCCTTCCGCAGGAGGCCCAGCCGCTGCTTAGCACGTGATGCCACTTGCCGAAGGTGGAGTCTGTAGCTCAGTTTAGAATCAAACGTCACTCCGAGCACCTTCACATGTGTTTACATGAAGCGTTTCAACCCGGGTCAGATTTCAACCCGGGTCAGATTTCAACCCGGGTCAGATTTCAACCCGCCATGCACACAAAATGAATGGCGCGTTTACATGACGCATTGCGCTTGACCCGGGTTGAAATTTCGCCCCGGGTTGATTTCAACCCTCCCCTTCGGTCAAGAAAATCGTACAAACGTACTTCTGTGCGTATCTCGCGCCAGGTTTGAACAGCACTGCAGATGCAAATTTCGCGCGAACGGATTCACGTGACCATACAGGACTGTAGAAGTGGACTTTTGGCGGCATATCAGTATTTGACCCGGGTCAACTGTCTTCATGTAAACGCTCACCTCTTTTGTCTATCGTACAGACTTTCAACCCGGGCTGAACTCGACCCGGGTTGAA